GCTGCTCCTGTAGCCTCAGCCCGCTCTATGGCAGCTACTGGGCTTTGATAGAAACTTTACCTTTCTCTTTGGAGTCAATGGGTGCCTGAGAGACCTGGAGAACTCTCAGTGTGGAAATAGGTCACCAAGAAAAGCCCGCTGCAGCCAGGATAACACGTATCATTGCAACGGCAGCAAAGCCGGTTTATAGTTCCCAACCTTCCTGACCTTCAGCCTCCCATTCACATCTCTTTCTGTGCCCCAGTTTTGTAACCTCTAAAGTTGTTCTGATGCAGCTGCTTTTGAAGTTAAGTCTAAGATATTGTCCCAAAATTATTTTTTAAAAAGAATTATTTCCAGGAAGATTTTATTGTTGACCTGAAAAGGACTAGGATCATTTCCCAACACTATTGCAGAGCAAACAGATGCATTGGCAAAATTGAGAGAGTAAACTACAAGAAGAGGCAGTGATGTGCCTCTTGGGGACTGGATAAGAAGATCTCCAGAGGTCCCTTCCAACCTCAGCTGTTCTGTGATTTGCGTGGCTACTACTGCAGCAGTCATCAGGCTTCATAACGATTTTTCTGGAACTTTTTTAATATCTAGATTTGATTTTTTTCACAAATAAGAGAAGTTATAAAAAGCCTGATTAAGAGCCACTGAAAAGAGGTTGTTGGGGTCTTTTACTCAAAGAGTAAAAACAGGGATAGAACTTACTTAGAGAAGAGTCATGCAGTTGCCTGACATTGCAAGCAGGCACGTACGCATATGAGGAACTCACTAAATCCTCTTTACACCTTTCCATTTGTAAATACCATGGAAACAGGGCCCTACACATTTAGAAGACAGATCTATAAAACTTGGCTATAATGGGACCTGATCCTCAGGTGAAACACCCAAATATGATGTTGATTTATGTCAGGAGAGGACCTGGTACTTATTATTTATTCAATAAACTCTTATCAGTCTCTCATAGTTTTTGGTAAATGCAATTACCCAGATCTTTACATTCAGTCTAGCTCAAAAATATAGTGTAAACCAGAATCCTAGTTCACAGTTAGGGCTCTGAGATTATATAAATATCTATAAAATGAAGGGAGGAAAAAGCTCAGAATATGCAAAATGACATAGTGGACTAAATTCTCTTAATTGTCTGCCAATGTTCTGCCTGCCAAATTTACAAGATATGAAGAAAATGTTAATTGAACATGCATGTGAGAAATAGATATTGCATATGGATCTCAAATACCAACAAACAGAAGACTGCATATTGCCTAAGCATCTGTACAATTTTTGCACATGCAGTTCCATATTTTGGGCACACATTGCAGCCGTACTTTACAAACTTTTTCAAAAATATTTAAATAACAAATGGAAAATCACACACACACACACACGCGCGCGCGCGCACATTTGTGTTAGACAAGAGAACAGTTCCGCTTCATGATCAGAGATAATGGAGTATTGTGCATTACATTTACCGTCATTATTCTAACTCACTCGAGTCAAAGTGTTGTATAGTACATATAATACTCAGCAGACAGATAGTTACTCAAATCTACATAGATCACTTAGACATACATTTCAGAAAATTTTGCCAGTTGCCTATAAGAATTCAGCTGAATATCTAGCACTTAATGAGCCACAGTATCATATTTCTAGTATCTTATAAAATGTCATCAGGAAATGGTAGGGTATTACTTTTATTTTGTATACTGAGTCAGTTTGGCAAGCATCAGCATTTACAACTCTTGCTTGCTTCAGATGGTAGAAATATGACAATGTGTCAGAGAGCTGAAGTAGGGAAGGGGAAATTATATTTATTCTCTGTTGTAAGATTAATTCTAGAAGAAAGGCACCATGAAAGAAAGACAAATTTTTAAACACATACAAGGGGAGAGATTTATTGCTCATGGTGACACATAAATCAACCAGTGACTGACTGTGATACACAAGCATAATGAGACAAGTCCAATGCTGTCTCCATCTTTTACTAGCCAACCTATATGTGCATTTTTTCTTTTTTTCTGGGAAATTATCTTACACTACTTGAATAATTGATTGAAAATTTGAACTCCTTCTGGGGCTAAGTTTATTGACATACAAACCTCCCATTGACTTTGGCAGCAGCCCCTCGTATAAGTTGACAACAGCTGTGGACTTGAACAATCATCTTGTTGCAATTTACTTAAGTAAAAGTGGTCTTAGTAAAATGTATAACAATCTGATATCGAGCTTTTCATTTTTTTACACTCACTAATAATCAACTTCGTAACGTCCTGTATTCTGATACAATCAAGGCATCAAAATGACTTGAATTTCTTAAGAAACAAGTATTGAACTGGGTGGTTTTATCTATTGCACCTGAGAAAATTGTGCTAAGCCTAAAACGTAAAATGATTAAGATGAGGTAGACTATTGAATGTGGCTAAGGGCTAATTTTGAACACAACCTTGTAACAACTGACAAATTCTGTGACTACATTTATGTGTATATTTTTTTGTAATTATGTTATTTTTTTATAACTAACACTAAGAATTAAGCTGCAAATTTTTATTTACACGGTAGTTGATGATCTTCATTATATTAATTCTTCCATTTAGAAAGCAGGTGACAATGTAAGTTTACAGATTAACACGGTTCCTTGAAGCTATAGTACCATGCGAGAGTGAGGGCTAAGGCAAGGCTCTCCAGACCAACTGAGGTATTTACACCACGTTCACTGACTTTTTGGGGTGAAGCCCCTCACTGAGTTACCTGTCTGGGCTTTGAGTCACTGGCCAGAAACTTCAGCAGCGGACACTTTTTGCAAGGTATGAAGGAAATTTTAGTTACCATAATGTCTGTTCTATCAAAGTCTTATATTTATGGTGGAGCTTGCAAAATGGAGCATGCTAATGTTTGCAAAATGACCGATATTGATCGTTCAGCATAAGTGACAGAGAATATACTAATTTAGCTCATTAACCTTTGCTGTCAGGGATTCTGCAGAGCTATAGGCACCAAATCGCCCTTTGCTTGGGGGAGGCAAGAGATGGTAACTAAAAAGTAATCCCACCTTTTTAATACTCGGGGCCTTATTTTCTCAATATGGTCCTGACCATATTTTCTCAGTATAGTGTTGACAGAATATGAGCAAGGATAGGTGGTAATATAGCCAGCTATGTCGGCTGTTATTTAAGCTGCCATTGCGTGCATGAAGCCTAATTAACCAAGACTATTCAAAATCTGGGCATGTATTTGCCATTTATGCTCAGAAAGGAACTGTGTACTTTACAGCTACTGGACAGAAGCTTTCTTGCCCTACCCAGCAAAAATTAATTTAATTTCTGATGTTAACTTGCTGTTGTCTTATGAACTTCAAGTCACTTTCTGGAAAAAAATGTGTGCAGAATTAAGGTCAAAACTGGTTGTAAGTCTTTTGCCAATCAAAGCATAAAAGTGAAGCATTTGAAACAAATAGTTCTTTACCTGAAAATAATTTTAAGAGGTTATGAGGATGACATACGTTGATGCAAGTTGTTTTAGCAATTGATTATTCCTAAAAATCATAACAACAGAAATGACAACTGATTAATTACTGCTCTTGATATTCTACAGCTTCATTAATAAGAAAACACTGGAAAAACTGTCTCATTTCATAGTGTTTTCACTGAATTGAGAGAAAATTCACTGAAAATTACCCAGGAAAGTAATTCTTTATGAATCACTAGAGGATGGCTTCAGCATCACATGTTTACGTGACAGCTGTGAAGCCATCTACCAGCTGTAGTTGTACTTACAATGAACTAAATAACATTTACAAAAATTAAGATACTGTGGCGGTGTCTGAGGAAGTGTGACATGTAGGATTGCCCTGGATTTGAAAATTTGACTGGTATTTAGGCCTGTGTTAGCTGCAGGCTGAACTGAATGCATGGTAAATGTTCATGATGTTACTATGCATAGCTGCAATCTAGAGCTATAAAGATCTATACAGAAACCTCCTGACATTTGCACGTTCAGATGTGGATTCAGATTATTGGCTGCACTTTCGTGGTGGGGAGGGGGTCTGTTATTTTTGCGTCACTTGCTTTGGAAGTTTTACTTTTAAACTCATCTTTAGGTTCATCTTTCCTTTAAGTAACATATCTGTAGGAAAAAACTATGATTAATAACACCTCAGAAAAAGAGATTTTTTTTTTTTTTTTTTTTCCTCTGGGCACAGGGCCCAGTTCTGCAGCTTTGGGCAAAACGCATCTCTTTATAGCTCAGATATACTGGAGGGTAGGCAGGAGGCATCCTGACCTTTCCATCCTGTCTACCATTTTTATTTTTCTGAAATGTAATGGGGAGAAAATTAATGGGATTCTGTGGAAGTTAAAAAGCTTAGAAAAACATGGCTGAACCCAGTCTGTATCATACTTCAAAAGTGATTTTTCTCTTCCTTTAATTCTACAGGATTGTTCAAAAAATATGTAACAGAAGAGGTTGAAAGCTATGTTGGGCACTGTATGAGTATCTAGGTAAAGATTTTTCTATTAATCTTTTCCCATTAAGAGTTTTTCTCTCAAGCAACTAGCTTGGGGTTGTTTTTGTAAAGCCAGGCTGGCAGCTCCATCAGAAGGAGCATTACCTGCAGCCAGTGAAAAATACAGCACAAATATCCCTGTGCAGCTTTTTAGAATAGTTTTATGATGGCACTGTTTTGCTCCCATCATGTTCGTGAGCCCTTCTGCTGAGGACTAGCTTTTTACCCTACGTGTGTGTAACCGCTGATGGAAATCAATGGGAGATTAGTATTTGCGAAGCCTGCAGGACCACAGATCAATAGCACTCTTTTAGTTGGAGGCAGCAGATACAGAGCAGCCTGCCTTCCTTAGGTGTTACATGGGCTACTGGAGGGACGCGGGCTGGGCTTCAACCTGTCCGTGACTGCCTCCCGAAACCTCGACAGCTGAGGATAGCTACTAGGGATAGGCCAGTTACTTTTGTTTCCCATATATCATTTTATGTGTCTTGTAGGTCCCATACCAGGCTCCTCATTCATTCAGCTGCAATATATTCCGATCGTGCGATTCACTCGTGAGGGCAGAGGAATTGATGGAGCTTCTTTTGAGGATCTTGTTTATGATGTCTTTCCATGTCTTCTTGTACTGATGCCGTAGCAAAGAGTACACAAAAGGGTCTGAAACAACTTTGCTGTAAGCTAAGCACTTGGAAATGATTCCCCAGTGGGAATTGATGTGGACCACAGAGGATAATTCAACAAGTCTGTGGAAAGAGGAAGTTTTAAGGAGTGAATATTCATATTAAACACATGGAGCAACAGCAAAACTGTAAGCCAATGACACCCCACCCCCCCACCCCCCACCCAAAACCCGCAATTTATTCCTGGACAATTGCAAGAAAACAAAAGAAGAGAAAGCCATACCCATGAAAATGTGAATGTAGTCCTCCCCTTATACATTTCTAAGACTGCAAATATGAACTTGAGATCTGCTTCCCAAGGATGGGACTACACAGCTCCTATCAGAGTGTCTTGACCTCCAAACTTGAAAGCATCCTTGACTCTATACATTTACTGAGGCTGGAAGTGGGCCTTGGATATCTTGGCTCCTAAAAGGCTCCTTTGATCATTTGCCTCAATAAATGTTGAAGAATTTGGTGCAAAATGGAATAGCTCCATCAGTATATGAGTTAGTCTTCAAAAGAGCTTATTTATTTGTTATTGGAATACACCTTTTGGAGACTAAAAACTGAGTCCAAATCTCTGATGTAGAGCTGGGTTTTCAACTCATCTGGCTCACTGAAGCCATCCAGATACTTGATAAAGGGGCACCTCTCTCTCTAGGGTACTGTGACCTAGCCCTGTTTTTACTGTCTAGTGAACACCATGTTTGGGATCATAAATACTCTGTGGTAAGCAGGTCAACACTTCATGGAAAGTTTACTGCTGATGAAAAACATCACGAGTAGATTTTATCTACTCATAAAATAATTTCCTAGATAACATATCCTCAACCATTACACTTTTACTCTCTGTGCCAAAACTTATCTATACAGACAATGCGTGTTACTTTCTCTGATGACTCTAGGGTTTTCAGTCCTAATAAGATCTCTTATTAGACAGTAACATTTCACTTCTTTTGTTTTTTCTTCATTTAATGCTTTTATTTTGTGCATTTTTCTAGTAGTGTGTGTCATAAGATCATGTTTCTGGCAGCTGAAGTTCATCACAGACTTAATATAGCTCTAAAGGGAATGAAAGGAGTATAATCTCCCCAGGTATGTTTCCTGATGACTTTCATGCTTATTGCCACCATTGAATCCATCACGCACAGCAAAGTTAACCACAAGTATTGTAAAAAATTATTTCTGCATAGCCTAACATAATTTTCTAAATATTGATGTAAAACCATACTTTGAGCACTAAACTTTGAGCTCGGGACACAAAGTGCCATTGCTTTGTCTCATGGGAGTCATATTCCCCTACCATTAGCTATCTAAAAATCGAGATCTAGTCTGAACTCATGGTTCTAGGTCCCCTCTAGAGTATCTGAGAAACCACCTCACCAGTGCTATTTAGCTTTCTTAGCCAATCCAGATCCTAGAGAGAGAGTTCAGTGCTTTTAAACAGTTTGTCTGGATCGTAGGAGAAACACACGGAAGGAAAAATCGTTATTGAGAGACGATATATCTTGATGATATATCTTGAATTTTAAAAATGGTCAGTTTAAAGGTCAAACATATACATTTGGAACAAATATAGCAAGGCAAAACTTTTAACTCACTAGGGAAGAGAGGGAGAGAGGGAAGAGCTTTATATACTCCTCATGCCTACACTAGCACGGATAGTTCACTTTCTACTGAGGCAGTATTTTTGACAGTGAAATATTGATAACTCCACAAGGTTTTCTTTCCCCATGTCTTTGCGCAATTCTGAAGGGCAAGCAGTTCTGTTCAATATGTCTCTACAGCTATTGAGAAACTATTGATTTTTCTAGAGGACAAACAGCCACATGTGCTGCTAGAGAGCCCCACTATGCAAAGGCAAATAAGATCTTTGCTGAAACCGTCTTCAGCAGCAGGTGCTCTTAAACCTGCCTGGAAAATACTTCAGTTGTTGATGCATCTTCAGACAGAGGGCCAGTTCCAAGGAGCATTCTGAAGCATGATTCCTGCAGCAGCAATGACAATACTGTTGGTACTTCAACCAGTTTAGAGATGAGGATTCTTTTCCTCAGTCATTTTATTCTCATTCCATAAACTTTCATTACATCATGTTGTTTAAAATAGCACTGGAGGATGGCACGGTCCAGTCATTTGAGCACAAAAGTGGGATTAAGGAGCCTTAATTTGTTCCACCACTGACTATGAGCTTCTGTCTTCTCTCTCCGTTCTGGTTTGCCTAGACAGCAAACTCCATGGCAAAAGCCCTGCTTGTTCCTGGATATGCATGCTGGCCTTAGAAGAGTGTGTCAGTGCTGGGGCTTTAGCCACTGTCACGGTATTGGTAATTCTAATAACGAGAATAGTTTTGTGTGCTTTGTGCTAGCAATTTGATCACTTCGTGTATCACTTCTATCAGAAGTGAGGCGCACCTGTACAATTAAGTTTTTAGGGTTCGTGTCATTTGAAGTGACCAGGCTATGTTACATGAAAATACTTGGAATTGCTCTTGCCTGTCTACTGGTGCCACTTGGCTCAGCTGATCACTGTAAGCAACCTTGAGATACCAAAGAACCGCTATCTGTCCCATTTCTCTCTCCTTTCTTCTTGACTAAACAAATGCTGTTCATTCAACCTCTCCTTGTAACTCATTGTTGGCATCTTTCTTACAAAGTAGGATCCAAACTCAGACATAATTATCATCTACTCAAGGTGCCAAGGGGTCTCATCTGGTGTATTCTCTTTTGTTTAATAAAATGTAGCTTATGACACCCACGTTAATATGGTCTAAAATGAGAATTGACTATTTGGAAATTAATCATGTACTGAGTCATATTTACTTTGTAATCTACCATGAGCCATCCTTCTTCTTGTTATTCTCCAAGTCACATATTTGGTGCCTTCTTTGCATTTTGAATTTCATCATGTTGAATTTCATCTGGTTGATTTACTTTTACCAAATGCTTTACGCATGTGGATTTGATTAAGTTTAATTAAATTCAGTGGTTGCCTTGAATGACCAAAATACGACAAATTTGTGTCTGAGTCTCTGTCAATCAGTTCTACAAGATGTTAACAATCTCTATTTAAAGCATATGAAATAGACACTTCAAGGTTGCAAGCTTAGACTTGCTAATTCTAGCTTCATTGACTGATCAACAGCAAAGCCTACATTTTCATCAACAGAATTTTACATATTTTCTTTGATTATGTTCCCTAAGTGTCCTTGATATTTACACATTTTGCAATTCTTGTCTATTATTTTTTATAGTAAATCACATTTGCAGATATCAAGCAGCAAACACAAAAATGCAGTCAAACCCTGAGCTATGCAATTCCATTTCGTGTACAAACAATTAAATGTCAGTCTTTCAAGGCATATCACATACTTTATTGCCTTTGAAAGAGGGTGTTGTTTCTCATTTATGAGGGAAATTATATGCATAGTTTCAATTTTCATGAAAAGTTTCAGCCAAAAAGACATTTTCAGTGAAGGAGCATTAATATTTCAGTGCTACCTGTAAATTAAATTCTACAGTATCAGCTACATAATTCCCTATCTTGCTTTCATAAGCCAGTCTTCTACTGTCTGGTCTTCAATACATTTTCATTTCAAAGCTATAAGCTGTTTTGCTGTGATACTTTGTTAATATTTTAGAAACTTATAATTCTGTAGTGTGTGTCATGTCAAATAGCTATCCAATTATTTTATTTCACTTTCAGTAAACAAATGAGAATGCTACTTTGAAGATTAAGACCTTGATCTTTTATGCAGCTAATACAGACTGAAAAACCTTTACATACATGTACAGTTTATCACTTTAGTAAAATATTTTACTGAACATGTATACATCCAGCTGGAGGCTACTGCAGTGGCAACATATTTGTTGTGCATTGCTTAAACCTGAGAATGTAAATGAGTTATGGAGAAAATGCTGAATAGACCAGGGTCTCAAACAAGCTAAACCATCTTGTTGTTCAGGAGTGAAACAAAGCTGGCACCACATTTTGGAGCTGGTAGATGATGAATTTCTCACAAGAAGAAATTCAGTCCTTTCCCCAAGAATTTGGATCAGTTCTTTAAGCTTGCATTCACAACATTTCTGTTTGTGTCTAATTCTGATTTCCCCCCCCCACACACACAAGTTCCATAGTATCAGAACTAGACCTTAGTTGTTTCTTTTGTGTTAATGATATGAACAGGCTGACCATGAGTTTTATCTTGATGTTGATGTTGATTTTACTTTATTTTCACTTTAGTGCTTGGTAGACTGAATCTTTTGTATGCTGTCTTGCTAGTGAAAAAGCCCTTTTTTAATGATTGCTTCTTGACACAAAAATTACATCGCGGTGATTGGTAGCTGATTTACCGTTAGCCAGTTTTGCCTTTTAAGTGGTTTCATATATTACCACTGGCCAGCTTCCATAAGGAAGCAGACTTTTGGCCTCTTGTAGCTAATCCTCCAAATCTCTTGTAGCAAATCTTGCAAACCATTGCTTTTAGCCGTTGCTGTTCCCCAGAGCTGCAGGAACACCCTGTCGGCACAGAGATATGAGGATAGCAAGGCATCACAGAGATACAAGGATAACAAACAACACTGTTCAGCTTGTATGAAAAGGTTTTTCTATCCAGTAGGAAAATATCTCTACCTCATATCAGCCGAGACTTTTGATGAAGACTAGAAGGCCGCTGTCTTCAAATATGTCAGCCTAAGATTGCATAAGAAAATCATGCATTTATATGCACTGACAGGCAAGAACAAAACTTGCAGAGGAATTCTGAACTTGCTTGTCTACCCAAGCAGGATCTGCATACAGAAGGCAGGCAACCACTTTAAAAACAGTTTCTTTACCCCTTGTCCCCCAGAGATGATACAAGAGAATTTTAATCCTCTGCCTGTTCCACCATCTTCCTCTGTAACCTGAGGCCTTGGGGCTATGAACATCTTTCTGGTATTACTTCAGGATTTTTAATTTAAAACCTATTTCCTCACACATTGACAGCACTTATTAACTGACATGAGCAAAGTTCTCTACTTCAGTATGAAATGCCTGGAGTTGGAAATTAATACTGGAAATTGGTATGACTTATTTTAATTGTTCTGATGAAAAAGCCCCTTGGAGAAAATAGGTTTTGAACAATGTTATTTAATCACATAATGATAAATATAGCAAAAGAAGGGATGTGTACTAATAGAATTTTTACAAACCAAGAAACAAGCTATGCCTAGAAATAAATAATACAGGGTAATACATCTGTCATACTGGTACGGTGGAAATGAATCAAGAAGAATCAGATTCTGCTGATCTAGTACTTAAGGTCAGTATATAATTAGAAGGGTGTTGTCTTGAAAAAAGAGGTGTCTAATGTGATTTTTACCTTAATGTAATCTGAAAAACTCTGGTTTACCCTGAGAAGACTTTATCTGGCTGGGGTTATAAGCACAACTCCTTCACTGTTCATGAAATTGCTAGAGACAACTATTTGTTTTTAGTGTGGAAGCAGAAAGCTGTTGTTACAGTAAAGCCTTGTGATTTGTTGCTTTCAGGCCTTGATTCATGAAGTACTTAAAAGCATGTTTAATTTAAGGATATTGCTGATTAGAGCTGGCTGTCCAAAAGAGAGGCTGAGCAATACACTTCATCGGCTGTCTTCTGTTCACTGCCTTGAACTGTGAGTGAGTGCCTCTATCTTGTGAATGCAAAGCGCTGGACATAGTCCAGAAAATAATACTTGCTTACATAATTAAGATCAAATGCCTCTTAATCACCTTGACTTCAACACCCTCGGCTGTATGTGTGAGGCATAAGGGAGCGCAGTAATGCACGTCCTCAAATACCCGTCCATGCGGCATGGTGTCCAGCAAGGTCTCTCAAGCAGCTAAAGAGGGAATTCCCTGTAGCCTGTTGTGCAGCGATCCCCTTAGACGTGCCAGAACTAAAAAGACCAGGAAAGTTATAGCCTTTACCCCACTTGGCATGCCTGGCCAGTGCCCAAGCCTACCCCTGTGCAGGCAAGCATCTTCATGCATTCAGGACCCTGTGTTTTGACTCCTCATCATCGCTCCCTGTGGCAAAGCTATTAGTCCCCAGCAGACTGAAGACTCAGGTGGACGTTTAAGTCTGGACTAAAGGGAGGAGGCTCAGGATTTTTCTAATCCCTCTTCTGTGTTTTAGGGCTACTGGGACACAAATTAGGATGCCACACAGTTGTAAGGAGGTGGGAAGGTGGTGTCTGAATGCTGGGCTGAGATGGCTATGGAGAAGCACAAAAATACTTCTGACAGTCCTGGTTAGAGCACTTGGCGTCACTCAGGCCAGAGCCGCAAGCTATTCTGTGACTGCGACGATTTTCATTAAGTTCAGAGGCACAACATAAAATGAAATTCAACCATGGGTAATGAGACAAATACTCTAATATCTTATAGCCTGAAAAGTAAGGCTGAACGCCTATAGTTATAAGTCCTTTCATACCCTTTTAGAGTGTGTGGCATGGAGTGTCTTCTTGTGACTGCTAAGTGAAAGCAAAGGTAAATCTAGTCCTACTGTCACAAATGTATTTGCAACATTGTTACAAATAAACAGCATGAATCAATTAGCTGTTATCATCAATGAACATAAAATCAATTGACATGCAGGTTTCCATTTTTACTAAGAGACTACAAGACCTTCTTGTGAATTGTTTTGTTAGAACTAGGAATTCAGGATATTATACTGAATTGGAAAAACTTGGGCTTGGCTACATGCCCACTTATACTGAGTCTTAATTCAGCTTTTTCAATGATTTTTTATGATGGACCCGAGTGTGACTGAAGTCAGGCCCAGTAATTTCTATTTGATAAGATTGGAATAGGCGACACTTTAAAAATATTTTTTTCTTTCTCTGTTCTGCATAGCAGCATTTCAGTTTTTCCAGAGTCTTTTAATAAGGAATGCAAGTTGTAAATTTCCTTCAATGACTAGATAACATTTTTCTGGATATACTCACTTTCTAATACTTTATGTTTCATAGGAGTAATTTTGTGTTTCCCACAGGAGCCATTTCCAAAGATAAGCTAGTAGATAGATAAGGACATCTGATCATAAATCACAAGAATTTTTTTTAGCTATGAGCCAGAACAGCTTTGATATTTGATGTTTATGACTGATAAACTATCCAGTCAGATGAAACTATCGTTTAAGTTTGTGGACCATGTTGTCACCTCAGTTGGATTTTGTTTGACCAGATTTTTAGTCTGACCTATTCAGACAAGCTTCTTTCCCTGCAGATCACCCCCTGAACCAGGGAGACAATCTGAGGAGTGGGTGACTACTTGACCCGAAAAATTCCGTAAAATCCTGTGGACTGACTTCCTAAATTGCTCCCATGTGACCAACACATTGACTGGACTGACTGAACAGCGTTTGGCCTACAGACTGCATCAGGATTGTATCAAATAAGTGCTATGACATTTTATACAGTTTTGTTAAGCCAGTAAATGCAATCTTTGTCATAGGAGTGGAAACAGCACACAAAATTCTCACAGGAGACTGGAATAATTTTCTGGCTCAACGTGCCCTACTTCTCTGAGTTAAGAGTGCATCTCAGCAGTCTTTTCCAGTATGTAGGTTCACACTTACCTTGTAATTACATAAGGTGCAAAACAAAGTATAAAAGTACCAATAAAGGTACTTATTTTCTTTGTTGCTCGCTGCCTCCGTCTCTTTTGTTCTTCTAGACAACGCTCTCTTACGCTGTGTGACATTCAACACAAACAAGAACATGAATAATAATATCAGGTAGCAGAATTTAATGGCTTTACTTATGGAATGATGGAAATCAATCGTTCCAGTAAGTGCTGTATTCACATAAGCCAATACCAGGTGCACTGCATTTATATGAGACAATACCAAGTATTAATGCATTGTATGATCATCTTACCCTCCAAAAACAATTACTGAGAAATACATTATTATATATTTATATGCACACCCCTTGATTATATTGATTTATATACAGTCAAATTGGTGGAATTCAGCCTTGAATTCAGTTGCAGCTCCTTGCTGAATTACTGTAAGCTGTATTTGCAGGCCAGAGTTTGCCTCATGATATTAGAGATGTGGAAAATATCCAAAGTGGGGTAAGCAGCGTGCTACTTCCCTAGAAACAGCAATTCCAACACCACTACCCTAGATAGGAGAAACTTCCCAGCAAGATAAGCAATAAAACACAATAAAATCATGATGGGGAAAAAACATGCTCTGAACATTCAGTCCAACATTGGAGCAATCGCTGTATCCCGTAGCTGTGAACCGTGTGGCCATAAATCTTACAGCAGCCTGTGCAGCTCTGCACGGCCGCCGTGCTGAGTGCTTTGCAAAGCTGGGAATTATGCAACAAATCCACAGCGCTGCCATGTCCTCACTCCTTGCCTCAAACCAGCCTTGTTCCCGACTAAACAGATACTGATTAGGCACACCCCAGGTTTTTTCCTACCTGTGGCATTTTAGGACAAGAGCTTCTCCTTCTCCTCTCTCTACAGAGCTGCTAAGCCCCTCAGTGTGCCACAGCAAGGTGATGGGAGCATGGGACTGAGACCACGCTTCCACTGCAGGAAATCCCTGCTTGCCAAGAGTGATAACATGAAAACCCACCCTCCTTCTCTACCCGCATGTGTAACTCCTGTGCTGGCTGTGCATTTTGAGGGCGGTGCATGAGTTACTGAGGGCAGGTAGGTTTGGATGGGCAGCACTGGTTGTATCTCTTACACCCCCAGGGCCATCTGTACCTGAACTAGTCCCTTTGGGAAAGAGCAAAACCAAAGCCAGACTGCACTCCTGAAATCCCTCTCTACATACGTAGCAGCACTACTACGCGTTGACTCATTGCACAGGTCTTGTGGTAAAGCAATCACGTATCTCAGGCAAACCGAATGGTCTGGCCCATGTGCTGCATTTTGTAACTGCTTGGCATTGATGTCTTCATTTTTGTTGTAAATTTGTAACTGATGACTCACTGTCAAGCTCCACATGAACATGTGTTAATAGCTGTGAGGTTTATGGCCATACCCTTACGCTGCTGTACCTGCAAATGTTTGATCATCATGTAAACACATGTTATGTCCTGAGGATCTCAGTGTGCTTCAATGATCCCTGTGGCAGCAAGTTCTTACATTACCTTTTGGTTATGTAAAAGAAAACATGTTTCCTTTGATCTGTTTTATATATTGCCTTATCCTGCCAGTCCCCAGAGCAGCTACCATGATGGCAAAATGAACAAAATACTGGAGGAAAAGGTTTTTCTGCTTGAAACAACAAATCATCTCACTCTTAATGAATATGCCTAAGTAGAATGAAAACACATCTAAAAGTGCTACACGTTCTATGTCTGAGTTATTTGCAGAGAGAAATGACAGCTGAGAAGGAAAAAAAAATCCACCTTTTCAAGAGATCTTATGTGCTTTCTGTTCTGCAAGAGCTGGAGAACTTGGAGTATTTTTAGGTGCAGACAGATGATCTTAGAGGTTCGACAGCTTCACTTAAGACCTGTGTTATTAAATTCGTAGTATCCCAGGCACACAGTGATATGGGAAAACAAATCTCCAAAGTAGGTTCAATTAGGGTGTTGCTAGGGTATAGAGGGTGGTGTATTTTTTTGTCTCTAACAGTTTCCCTAGTTATATGTTTTCCCTACTGGCACATACAAAGCTGTCTTTGACTCCTGGAGCTCACACATGACGGGAAGTCCTAAGAGACTTCAATGAATTTCTTTTTTTCAGCCTTTCCAGATGTAGCTAATAAATACCACATCACAGATGAAGGTATTTTATCTCATTCATTCATATAGACAATGTACACAGATGGGTATTTTGCTTTTGCACACACTTTTACACACTAAGATAAGAACATATATGCAAGTTCCATTGGTGACACTAGTAATAGAACTGGATTATTGACTAAGCTCTCATTTAAAGATTTTAATATCCTGGAAAATCTGAGATATATCCTTTTGAAGGTTTGGTATTTTTAACAAAGTTTATGAGATACCGGACCTTAAGATCTGTAAAGCTGGATACACCAAAAAGATAGTATAGATAATTTGGGTGAAGAAACACATGCGTTAAGCACTTAAGTGAAGTCTTGCTCAAACCTCTCACAATACCTAAGATACCTTGGTATTAAGAACAAAGTCAAGAAAAAGCAGTATCCAGTAAAAATTCCTAAGCTAACTTGAAAGGACATGTGTCCTAAACATTCACACGATTTTGTGTGGTATTTAGAGATTTTCTTTGTACTCGTCTTGAATGAGCTTCAGAAGATCACTCATGTCTTTCCAAGTCACAGGTAATAAAGCTATCTGTCATAACGCCTGTTGCTAGACCCCCTTGCGGGTGGATTCTAAGTCATAGAAAGCAGAAAATTGTCTGTACGCATTTCTCAGAGTTGAAACTAGACCGTGCAAAAAACCACAAAAGTTAGGGTAGTCTAAGGTGGGATTACAAACTTTGTTCTCTCATGTGCCTTCTCCCATCGCCCATGTCTATGTGGTTAGGCACGATAGTAAACACTGAAATTGCCTGTATGTATACCACTTACATAATACAAATGATGCCTTTGTTATGTCAGAGCTTTTTGAACGTCGCTGACTGCTCTAGCAGACCTGCAGCATTTGGGTAGCTCTCACAGTAGGGAAGGCAATCCAAGGTCTGACCCTTTCAGTGGCAGTAGCTGTCACCAACTAAGGCCAAATCAGCCACCATTTCTGTAGTCTAGAAAAGAAGCTAATACTCTCCTTTCTTAGAGAGAAGCACTAGAATAACCTGATGCAAGAGATAAATAATGGTTAGCAATATGGGTTACTCGCAGCAAAGTACCTGTACAACCCTGTCTCCTCTGAAGAAAGGAGGTACCATTCCCACAGCCCCGTTGAATCCACCTGTCAGTGAGATGATTACAAAATGCAGGAACACCCTCAAATTAACCTAGATCAGAAAAAAATGCAGAGGACGAGAAATACCATTGAGATTTTTGCCCTTTTTCTAAGCTTTGCTGTGCAGTCCAGGCATACTTTAAGCATTAGGCATAAGGATTGCTGTTTCAAATAGCCCCAATGGGTCTCTGGTACTGCCCTGGGAGGAACCACCACATGTCATGGTGCGTGCAGGAACTGAGACCAGCTGAGGCACAGTTTAGCAACCAGACAGCACGTAGGGCAGAAGGGTGTTTTTTCCTCTATGTGATTGAGTGGATAAGGGAAGATTTATACATGTGTTTCTCAAGAACAGGAGCGGGACTTGCCCAAAGTTCTCCTCTGCATTCTTGGTCAAGAGACAGATCAAACAGCTTAACTGGAGAATTTTGAGCAAATGTTTCTGTTCCTCTAACAGTGCACTGTCCTGCCCTGATTCTTTCAGACTTATTTGCCTTAGGCTTAGGAATCCCCAAAATATGACCTTTTTCTGAGGACAGCCACATGTGCTTTCAGTCCTGCAGCTCTGCTCCTGGCTGGCTGCAAATGGAGAGAGCTGGTGTTCGCCTCCAGCTTGCAGAGCAAAGGACAGCAAGGGGGGGTCAGGTGGGATGTCTGGCGTGGGGACTGCCCTCTTCAACTGCTCGCAGCTTTCCTCTCTTCCAGGCAGATTTCTTCTCCCGCATCAGACATCTCCCTGCACTGCCAGCTGCCAGCATTTTTCTGAAAGACATTTCCCTTCCCTTCAGTCTCTGACAGAGACAGTCTGAACTTTAAGATCCAGTCTCTGACTGTCTCCCAAGCAGCACACACATCCTTCACAGCCACTCTGTCACCCTACCTAGCCAAACCATTTTCTCCTTTTTTTCCAGGCAAATACATCAGACTCTTCCTTTCCCAATCACCAGCTCCAGCCACACTAAGCCCTAAGCCAAACTAGTTCCTCTGACCGACCAGGCTGATTTCTTTCCACACTGTGACCAGTGCCTCTGTCTTCCCCTTTTCAGAGCTTGCTCATTGACTCTGCCACGCCATCCCATCACAGCTGGGTCTTAGCCCCAGCTCATCAGAGCCTCTCAGCCCTCAGCCAGGACATGCTGGTCCATCAGCCACCCTGCCCCGCTCCATCCTGCCTCAGCTGTGCAGGTTCATTTCTCATATCCCTGTTTCCCAGGCACATCACTCTGGCTTGTCCTGCTGCTCCCTTCTCACCAGCCTGGCCCCACGTCCTTCCAGCCATGCCTGGTTTGGTCCTCTCCATTTCTTCCTCTCCGCTTTTCGTGGGCAGAGCCATCATGCACTCACAGCACACACTGACTTCTTCTTCCTCCCCCGTGCACCAGGCACCTTCCCCAGGTCCTTGCCAGGATCACTGCCTGTCCAGCACCACCCTTAGGCTTCCTACCAGCAAGGCTTTCTCTCCTTCAGCTTTACCACTGTGCTCCCCTTACTGACCCAGGGAAAACTGTCTCTCCCATCTTCTCTCCTCCAGCCAAATCTGCATCCCTTCCAGATCCAGACATAGCCTATTCAGGCAAGGTTTATAGTTTGTGCATAATCCTGACATGACTCTTTTGCCCAGCATCCCAGCACGCATTCATAGCCGTTTGGTGCTTGCCTTCAAGCCCATTATGCTCCCAGCCCCCAGAGAGTTTTCTCCTCCTGTGCTTAAAGACTCTCATTTGAAATGAACTTTATACATCCCTTGCCTGTCATATCAACATCCCTCACTTGGATTTAAGTACAGGCATTCACGCATATGCATTTTGCAGATGTTATTCCCTTACAATTCTGCCTTCGGGAAAGATAAAGTTACAGAGAGCACAGCAATAAGGAAACCGCCGGGCGAAGGAGCGGCACGCAGCACCCAGCTTCCCTTCTGAACTCTGAGTGAAGGGACATGTGCAGCCTCGGTCTGCTCCCTCTCAGGGATCCAGCAACGTTTTGGGCTGACAGTGCCAAAAAATGCCAATCTATCGACCACTAAATCCACCTTCGGAGACAAAGGGCAGTGATCTGATCACTATCGCAAAGGGAAGTGCATGCTCAGCCAAAACTGCCTGTTTCTTTGCTCTCCCTCCTCAAACAAGCCCTTAAGCATAACAAAGAAGAGTTGCTTCTACAACCGGAAAAATAAACACAAGTAAAACCAAACATGCAGAATAGAAACTGGCAAGAAGGATGCTTCTTTTCTCCCCCTCCCCATCCCCTGCTGTGATACAGAACAGACTGTATTTAACATAACACTGACCCCATCCTCGCTTCCTCTGCGGTGAATAGTCTCACTTGCTGAACACAAGGCACCTTACCTCGGATGGATGTCCACAAGCAGCACCAGGGTCTGCATAGTGATCACGTCAATCCGCTTACAGTGAAACCGTGCCACCTTCAGCACTTTTAGATATGTGAAACACAGGACTATAAGGGAGAGGAGGAAGCTGAGGGTGTGAAAGACCCCAGTGAAAATCACAAACTGCATCCTATCCTCTGGTCTCTTGTTGTACAGGGTGCAGGAGGCATAGAGGTGATGGAAACCCACCCAGGAGAGAGAAGCTGCCACTATCGGGAACGACACCGAGTGTAACCACGTGTAGCTCAGAATGAGAGCAGCATCTCTGTACCTCATTTTGGAGTGATAACTTAGAGGGAAGACCACAGCAATCCACCTGTCAATGCTCAAAGCTGCCATGCTCAACATGGAGTTCGTGGTGAGAAAAGTCTCCAGGAAACCCACAATGTGGCAGATCTGATCTCCTCCTGGTTGACTCTTGTAAATGATCCCAGCCAAGGTCAGGGGCATGTTCGAAACAGTCATCAACAGGTTGCAGAAGGTGAGGTTGAGGATGAACAATCCTGGGACCTGCTTGCGGATGTCCGCGCTATACAGGAAGCACATCAGCACCAGCACGTTGGCCAGCAGGGCCACGAGCATCAGCACCACCACCACGAAAGCCAGGATCACCTCCCAGATGCTCATGGTGCGTCCAGTCACAGGAGGGACATGTCCGAAACTGCGCCACGCCGGCACCCAGGGAACATGGTGCGAGGCGCGCTCACCTCGCCCTCCTCCCCAGCCTGCTCACACTCTTGCATGCCCTCCGTATTTTTAGAAGAGCTGCAGGTTTTTTCTCCAACCTCCCCCTCCTCGCTGCTCCTTTCCACGTCAATGCTTTCCGAGACGTGCACAAAAGCACTGGGAATGCCCATCAAACTGCGAGGAGGGCTTAAAAAATATCAGCAGGACTGAACCACTGTCTCCATTCGGTCCATTCGAAGGAGAGCAGGTTATTCTGAGAAACGGCTCTCCTGAGATCCCTAATTATCAGCCCAAAGCTTGCAAGCGATTCACCGAGTGAATTGTGCTCTCTTTCTCTCTTGCTTTCTGTCTCTCCCTCCCTCTCTCTCTCTCTTGCTCTTTCTCTCCCCTCCCCTCTCCTCCAACCCTCACTCCCTTCCAGGCTGAATGTAACCTGCTTTTTATGATCACAGATAAAAACCCCATTAATGGATTAAAGCATGCACACTGCTGGTGATTCACAAACGTGATTATGTCATCCCCACTCCACAACCCCTCCCCTTCTCCTTGCAATTGTGACTAGACTTTCCCCAAGAGAAATCCCATGCTTTCATTTAATTGATTTAGCCATTAATTTACAAACAGCCATGTAACCGAATTCCTGCACTCAGTGTGTTTCCTACATTTCGGTGCATTACTTTCACTGTTGCTGCTTGCTCTCAGCCAGGGCAGGCGCTTTCTTTTCTCTTCATTAGCTGTGCTCAAAAAGATGGGGAAAAATGGATATATTCTGCTACTTCTCTGGAGCTGTCATTAGGCTACTTGAATGGTTTTACTGCTCTAGTTTAGCACTTTGCAGTCCTGTGTCTCCAAGCACGATGCGTAGGAGGAAAATGATTGCCTGCCCTCCTCCTTTAAAAGCAGGGAAGCCAAAGCCCCAAATGCCGCTGTAACATGCCCAAGGTCATAGAGCAGGTGAGTGGCAGAGACAGCAACGTGCTGCCGGTCTCGCTCTTCGCTCAGGCTTTCTTCCCTTCAGCAGCCTTTGCTTCTTCCTAATTAAAGCCTCCCTCCCTGTGAGGGTGAGCACCCTGTGAGATCAAAACCGAGAGGCAGCTTGGCAAAGGAAATAGGAAAGAGTCTGCATTGCACATAATTAGGTGTTAAAATTAAGTTTGTTTTAAAGGACGGAATGGGAACGGCTTTCTGATTGCCTTTCCTGTCTCTTTAAAACAGTTTTAACTGGGAATGCTGAGAGTTTGAGAGCAGTCGGGACAGCTTTCTCATCAAGGCAGCCAAGCCTTAATCCCCACACAATAAGAAGGCAAAAGATACCCTGCAGCACAGTTATTGTGGCTTAGTAAGTGCCTCTGCACGTGTGCGAGAGCTAGATGCTCAGGCGGATTTTTCCTCTGTGCTCGCAGACCTTGCCAGAGGCGTGCATGCTCGATTTACAGCAGCTATTCATTGCAGACACTCGGGCTCATCCGCTCAGTAGCAGGGCTGTCACCCTGCACAGTGTCAGAGCTTTGCATGTTGTAGGAAAGCCCCTTCTCTTCCCCTTTGGTTTTGTTTTGTTTTCTTAAACCAAGCTTTAAAGGGCTAATAGAGACAGAAGGCTGTCATCAGACAGCTGGGACTCTCCAGGACAGTTTAGCTGGGTATGCAGGTCCTCGACGCATGCACTCGGTGGAGGAGGAGTGGCTCAGGGTGCAGAGCCCAGGAGCTCCCCGTCTCCAGAACACAAGTACATGTCCTCATGCTGGGTGGATGAGGAGCAGGACTTCAGAGTCTGTTTTTTTCCTGAGGCAGGGACCAAAAACTACATGAGAAAAGCCTGTAGGTGACCCCTTCTCTAAATAAGAAGGCCCTTTACCCTCTTAGGAGAGGGAGGCTAAGGAGATGGGAGAGAAGATGCAGATCTTGCTGCGTGGCACCAGAACATCAGCAAGTTTCCTTCTTGGGTAGGAAGCAGCAGCCCTGGCTGACAAAGGTGTCCTAGCATCAAAAGCCTGAGCAGGGCATCCATGTTACAGTACCTAGCAGGACGCCAGCTTAAAGCTCAGCAAGCAAAGACACTGCAGGCCCCCAGGGAGAGGCCATGTGAGTTGGGAGGCACTGAGAAGAAAAACTGAGAAATCACTAAAGATGTGGCAAAACTTGCTGGGAGACTAGGAAAGACAGAGAAAAAGGAAGGGAAAACCTGGTGACATATTGGAGGCAGGTACTCAGTGACAGCGGTGGAGAGGAATCTCGTGCCCACTTGGTGTCAAGGTGATTCCTGGCTCCTCCTTCCCACGCTCAGCCTCCTCCTTGGCTCAAATCAATCCTGCAGGACTCCCAGCTGCACAAATCATTCAAGGCCCAGCAGCACAAGCCCTGGGTAATTTAGTCATTTCTCTTGCCTGGCAACACGGGAGGCTATGGGTTTATCAGGATGGTTTCCTGAAGCAGTGTGCTGTTTTCCCTTTAGCGAGCTGTGGTGCCTCCTGGATTCGAAAGCTCTGCTTGTGAGTAATTCCCTGGTGTGACAGGGGGTCTGGCATCAGCATCAAGCCCAGGTGGACAGGAAGGGAGGAAATTTGCATCTGGAGATAAAGGATTAGGGATTACTGTCGGGAAGGGAGGATTCTCCCAAAGGGATGGATAAATGTGAAATAACAGGAAAGGAGATAATCCGGTGAGGCAGTGATGGGATATCAATGGTCAGATTTGTGGGTGGTATGGGATAGATGCTGCAGTAGACCTGTCGGAAGGGGGCCAATGTGGAGCTGATGTGGAGGAAACAGTGGACAAAGGGTAATGGTGGACATATCTTGAAGGGCAGGAGAGGCCGGCAGGACCATGGACTGGCTCCGCTGGATCTCTTTACGGGGGAGAGGAGAAGCGTACAGGAGTGGGTAGCTGTAGGACTGTCAGGAGGAGACCCACTGTCTCCCCTGCATGGTGTCTGAGCTCCTTCTTCCAAGACCTGAAATCTTCCCTCCCTCCACCTAGCCCTTTTCCCCCCCAGAGTTCGGTAGGGTGCTCCTACCGTTCGTATCGGTGTGGAAAAGCTAACTTAAAGCAGCAGGTTTGGCGTGTACTTCGGTAAGTGTTGGCCTAAATGGATGAAGCATTCCTAGTCCTGTGCTTTGCAGTTTACCGATTGCTTTGGCTTTTCCTATCAAGCTATTCTGTGTTGTACAACTTTCTTGGGTAAAGAAAACATTGTTATGAGTAAGGCTAAACTCCCAGTGTTTACAGGAAAAATGTAGCCGCTAAAAAGGGCTTAAATCTACATGAAAGTGAAAAAGCTTTCTAGATTTCAGGAGAAAACTGAAGTTTTCTCTTGGTGACTGATTTGAGTCTCAGTATGTATGTCTAATTCTAAAGGCCCAAGTAATTCACATAATTGATTCCCCTGTTGGTAATCCCTGAAGCTGAGGATATTTACTGAATACTTCGGGATTTATTTATCACGCATACCTAAGAGAGCGTGATGGATCCATCAAATAGCTTCATTTTATACATATCAGGAGGCAAGAATATGCTGTGCATATTTTATCACTGTAGAGGAAATGAATGTGTTGCCTGTGAGCTCCTAATGGCAGGGACTGCAAGTTTAGTTTGTAATATTTCAATGACAGACTACATTATGAATTAGCAATAAGCACGACTAATAAATATCAGTTATCACCAGTGAACATTGACAGTACTAGGGCTGGGTTTAGAAGATCAGTCCTCCTTTGGCATTTGCTCCGTTATCAAGCACACAAAACCACAGAACGTGTATTGTATTTTACATACATTAAACGCAGAGGTGACTCTGTGAAGAAGCATGGCCCAGCAGATAGAGCAGCAGGCTGCTAACCAAGACACCTGGGTCCTATGTGACCATGGGGACATCAGTTCACCAAACCTCTCCCATCTTTGCTTTGTCCCATAAACTCAGGGGGACAAAGGCAAAGGGTTTGTACACAATGAGGCCCTGATCCTTGAAAGAACCTAAACGCCTTATCTCAATCAAATAATGAGTTTTATCCATGAATGACCAGTTCTAGAAGGATCACACGAATCTCTTGCCATTCTTTTACAACAGCCTATAGCTAATGGATTTGTGGCCTGCATACCACATGCAGACCAGTTTACCCTGATGGGGATATGGTTTGTACTGGTATTGTACCAATCAGGAGGCCTATTGCAACAGTATGAAAATCCTCTAGAGAAGAGGTCAATTTATTACTCTGCATATAGTAATTCTTACTACGTTTTTGTCTATATTTGGCAATGGACAAAGGCATGAAGCTGATTAAATCTTCAATATTTTGGGCTGACCTTTCAATTTCAAAAATTCTGCAATACATGGACAGAAGATTTGTCTTTGATGGGGTGTTCATGAAGGGAAAAAGCTTTCTCTGCATGTTGTCCTGCTGAGACTATGAAATAGCTACCTGGGCTAAATGAAATTTTCAAAGTTATGTCCAATATCTCCTATATAGGAGGCTATTTTGATGACCTAACTAAAACATCTAAGGCACTTATTTCATAGGAAACTAATGTTTAAGGCTTTACACCACTGAGAAAACTACTCGAATATCTAACCTGAAAATGCATTTGAGGTCTGATGCATTTCCTTTGTACTGAGAGTTGTAGCTCTCCAATTTTTCTCTGTCACATTTTGGGATCTTAGTTTCATGTTTTCACTGCACTTTCCTTCTCCTATTGTCTCACCTTCCTCCTTTGATCAGCAGTGTACAAACGTTACAGGACTTTAATAACAGGAGTATTGACACATGGAAGAGATTGTTTCTCCTTTGTCTGTGTCTTAGCCAGTTCAAAGACAACCAATTTCTCCCGGGAAGCCAGTGTGCCTGCAGACAGCCCACGGGTATTTCCTCTTGCGTCCATCAGCCTATACATTTTGCTTCACAGCTGTTTGGAGAGCTTGCAATACATTCATGAACTGTAGAACCGGGTCA